CTGATGTCAATATGTGGGTAGTGTCACATATCTTCATCAACATGTACTGATGTCAATATGTGGGTAGTGTCACATATCTTCATCATTATGTACTGATGTCAATATGTGGGTAGTGTCACATATCTTCATCAACATGTACTGATGTCAATATGTGGGTAGTGTCACATATCTTCATCAACATGTACTGATGTCAATATGTGGGTAGTGTCACATATCTTCATCAACATGTACTGATGTCAATATGTGGGTAGTGTCACATATCTTCATCATTATGTACTGATGTCATTATGTGGGTAGTGTCACATATCTTCATCATTATGTACTGATGTCATTGTGTGGGTAGTGTCACATATCTTCATCATTATGTACTGATGTCAATATGTGGGTAGTGTCACATATCTTCATCATTATGTACTGATGTCATTGTGTGGGTAGTGTCACATATCTTCATCATTTCGTACTGATGTCAATATGTGGGTAGTGTCACATATCTTCATCAACATGTACTGATGTCAATATGTGGGTAGTGTCACATATCTTCATCAACATGTACTGATGTCAATATGTGGGTAGTGTCACATATCTTCATCAACATGTACTGATGTCAATATGTGGGTAGTGTCACATATCTTCATCATTATGTACTGATGTCAATATGTGGGTAGTGTCACATATCTTCATCATTATGTACTGATGTCATCGTGTGGGTAGTGTCACATATCTTCATCATTATGTACTGATGTCAATATGTGGGTAGTGTCACATATCTTCATCAACATGTACTGATGTCAATATGTGGGTAGTGTCACATATCTTCATCATTATGTACTGATGTCAATATGTGGGTAGTGTCACATATCTTCATCAACATGTACTGATGTCAATATGTGGGTAGTGTCACATATCTTCATCAACATGTACTGATGTCAATATGTGGGTAGTGTCACATATCTTCATCATTATGTACTGATGTCAATATGTGGGTAGTGTCACATATCTTCATCAACATGTACTGATGTCAATATGTGGGTAGTGTCACATATCTTCATCAACATGTACTGATGTCAATATGTGGGTAGTGTCACATATCTTCATCAACGTGTACTGATGTCAATATGTGGGTAGTGTCACATATCTTCATCATTATGTACTGATGTCATTATGTGGGTAGTGTCATATCTTCATCTTTATGTACTGATGTTATTGTGTGGGTAGTGTCACATATCTTCATCATGTGATGATGCCATTGTGTGGGTAGTGTCACATATCTTCATCATCGTATACTGATGTCATGATGTGGGTTGTGACATATCTTCATCAATGTGAGCACAGTGTGAGCACTATGACATATCTGCATCAACGTGTACTGCTCTGTCTCTGAGCCCTATCAACCAACCGGTTATAAACTAGCTGTAATCTGCCTGTCTAATCACATGAATGAATTCCCTTGTTCATCTGTGAGCCTTGACTGAATGACTCCAGCAACTGGCAACATCTGATCAATAAATCCACCAGAAATGGAAAAGGCTGTAAACAAGCTCTGGCCATTTCTCAGTTAGGGCAAGTAACACATACGGCCGTAACACCCAGCAAGAATCTGTATGCGTGTGTGTGTTTTGTTTTTGTGTGTGTCTGTGAAAACCCTTGGGCGTAAATTGATGCACATTATCTGCTGAGGGGGTGTTTAGGTAGACAAAACGTCAAATCAAAAGGGCATACAGGCAGTAACTTCAGGGAACAAAACTGGCCAGCAGATGTGCAGTGTTTAGCTACTGTCCAGCAACTGATCGAATGTACCTGCCAGCAGATAGCTCAATGAATAATCTTTCTTTCTTCATGAAAAGGAAATATGCCATCACCCTACTACTATTGTCCTGGCAATATCACAATGATTGAGGCCAAGGAGATTATCTTCTTTACAACAATGAAGGATCCCAGCAAATAATACAAGTTATGTCTCTAAGATACTTCACAGAAACTGCAAAAATGAATGAATTACTGAGACTTGGCCAACAAGTTGGCTTGCATATTCACCAATTTAACAACTGAAAACAAATTCTGTGATTCCTGTTTTGTGTTAAGCGTTAACGTAATCCATGTGTGTGCCATGTGCAGGACTGATGCAATGGGAACACCAGCTTAATGCTTGCACATGTAAAGGAAGTGAACATAAAATCTTACCTTCATGATGTGACCTGTCGTACTGCATCTAAACGCAGCTGGGGAACATGCAGCTAAATGACATCATTTAAGGCAAGAAATTTAGTGTTGAAAATATACTGCAGCAAATGTATATGACAAAAGTGAATGGAGAGAAAGAAGTTGGACAATTTTCTGAAATGAATTATGAACATAAAACATTACAAGCAATCTGAGCAAAAATAGCAAACCAACATCACCAATACATGTAAAACACTTCATGGACCATTATACAACAAGTATAATCTCAGTATACTGAGCTTGTCATGTGCATCTTATCTAGGTAAGACATAATGTAGGAATGATTACTGCTCGGCGGACACTAAGAAGGTCAGATTACTGCTCGGCAGATACTATGAAGTTCAGATTACTGCTCGGCAGACACTATGAAGGTCAGATTACTGCTCGGCAGACCCTATGAAGGTGAGATTACTGCTCGGCGGACACTACAAAGGTCAGATTACTGCTCGGCAGACACTATGAAGGTGAGATTACTGCTCGGCGGACACTACGAAGGTGAGACTACTGCTTAGGCTAGGATAACCCTCTGCTACTGCTTGGCGGACACTATGAAGGTGAGACTACTGCCCCTCTGAGCTGATCCCTCACGAAGGTCAGATTACTCTCGGTGGACACTATGAAGCTGAGATTACTGCTCGGCGGACACTATGAAGCTGAGAGTACTGCTCGGCAGACACTATGAAGGTCAGATTACTGCTCGGCAGACACTACGAAGGTCAGATTACTGCTCGGCAGACACTATGAAGGTGAGATTACTGCTCGGCGGACACTACGAAGGTGAGACTACTGCTTGGCGGACACTACGAAGGTGAGACTACTGCTTAGCGGACCCTATGAAGGTCAGATTACTGCTCGGTGGACACTACGAAGGTGAGACTACTGCTCGGCGGACACTACGAAGGTGAGACTACTGCTTAGCGGACCCTATGAAGGTCAGATTACTGCTCGGCGGACACTACGAAGGTGAGACTACTGCTCAGTGGACACTACGAAGGTGAGACTACTGCTTGGCGGACCCTACGAAGGTGAGACTACTGCTAGGCGGACCCTACGAAGGTGAGACTACTGCTTGGCGGACCCTACGAAGGTGAGACTACTGCTTGGCGGACCCTCGAAGAGGTGAGACTACTGCTTGGCCAGGACCCTCCACTGAGGTGAGACTACTGCTTGGCGGACACCTCACGAAGGTGAGACTACTGCTTGGCGGACCCTACGAAGGTGAGATTACAGCTCGGCGGATCCTACGAAGGTGAGACTACTGCTTGGCGGACCCTACAAAGGTCAGATTACTGCTTGGCGTACCCTACGAAGGTCAGACTACTGCTTGGCGGACCCTCACTAAAGGTGAGACTACTGCTAGGCGGACCCTACGAAGGTGAGACTACTGCTTGGCGGACCCTACGAAGGTGAGACTACTGCTTGGCGGACCCTACGAAGGTGAGACTACTGCTTGGCGGACCCTACGAAGGTGAGACTACTGCTTGACGGACACTACGAAGGTGAGACTACTGCTTGGCGGACCCTACGAAGGTGAGATTACAGCTCGGCGGATCCTACGAAGGTGAGACTACTGCTTGGCGGACCCTACAAAGGTCAGATTACTGCTTGGCGGACCCTACGAAGGTCAGACTACTGCTTGGCGGACACTACGAAGGTGAGACTACTGCTCGGCGGACCCTACGAAGGTGTGACTACTGCTGGGCGGACCCTACCCTCTGAAGGTGAGACTACTGCTTGGCGGACCCTCCGAGGGTGAGACTACTGCTTGGCCGGGACCTCACGGGTGAGACTACTGCTAGGCCGGACCCTCTGAAGACTACTGCTTGGCGGACCCTACTGAAGGTGAGACTACTGCTCGGCTGATCCTACGAAGGTCAGATTACTGCTCGGTGGACACTATGAAGCTGAGATTACTGCTGAAGCTGAGATTACTGCTCGGCAGACACTACGAAGGTCAGATTACTGCTCTGCGGACACGATGAAGGTGAGATTACTGCTCTGCGGACACTATGAAGGTCAGATTACTGCTCAGCAGACACTATGAAGTTCAGATTACTGCTTTGCAGACACTACATGAGATTACAGCTCGGCAGACCCTTAAGGTGAAGGTTATGAAGGTGAGATTACTGCCATGCGGACACTATGAAGGTCAGATTACTCTTTGGCAGACACTACGAAGTTCAGATTACTGCTCGGCAGACACTACGAAGGTCAGATTACTGCTCGGCGGACACTACGAAGGTCAGATTACTGCTCGTCGGACACTACGAAGGTCAGATTACTGCTTGGCAGACAATACAAAGGTCAGATTACTGCTCGGCAGACCCTATGAAGGTGAGACTACTGCTCTGGGACATTATGAAGGTGAAATTACTGCTCTGCGGACACTATGAAGGTGAGATTACTGCTCAGCCGGACACTATGAAGTTCAGATTACTGCTCTGCAGACACTACGTAGGTCAGATTACAGCTCGGCGGACCCTATGAAGGTCAGATTACTCCTCGGCGGACACTATGAAGGTGAGATTACAGCTCTGCGGACACTATGAAGGTGAGATTACTGCTCGGCAAACAGTACAAAGGTGAGATTACTGCTCGGAGGACATAATGAAGGTGAGATTATGCATTAACTATGTCACAGTAACCAAACACATAACATGTTTGATGTTGAGAGACCGAGCATTGTGTGTGTATGTCTGTTTGACTGTGTATTTCTGCATGTTTGATTGTGTGAGATGGGACATTGACTGTGTGTGTACAAGGTAAGTAAGAAGGCCTGCCTTTGCTGCTCCGAGTGGGTTGAGCACCTTCCGTTCTCCCTTTGCTGCAGCCAGTCGCTGGGCTTCCAGGAGAGCCTGACCCTGTTTCTCAATCTTGCCATGACTCAACTTACGCACAGGATTTGTCAACCACTTCCTGAAAATATAACTTCAAGTGAGTGGGGTTTCAAACTATAGCCAGCAATAACATGCCCACTTACAGCTGTCAGAGAAGTTTGGTCACTGGGAGATATATAAAGAATGTAGAATCATAACTTATACAGACAAGTTTTACTAAATATAAGGCCTTTTCAGGGCAAATTACTGGCGATTAGGGCCTTTTCAAGGCTACAATGAATTTAGGGCCTTTTTAGGGTAAAATGTCAAAATTGCAGCTGTACCGTCTACCGTGCTTTATCCTTGACTTTCATAATCAGTATTTGGGACCCATTATGCTATGTGATACATCCTCATATATCCCAGGCATGCAACACACCTAATGCATGCAGTACTGTACAGGCTATGTGATACATCCTCATATATCCCAGGCATGCAACACAACCAATGCATGCAGTACTGTACAGGCTATGTGATACATCCTTATATATCCCAGGCATGCAGCACACCTAATGCATGCAGTACTGTACAGGCTATGTGATGCATCCTCATATATCCCAGGCATGCAACACACCTAATGCATGCAGTACTGTACAGGCTATGTGATACATCCTCATATATCCCAGGCATGCAGCACACCTAATGCATGCAGTACTGTACAGGCTGTGTGATACATCCTCATATATCCCAGGCATGCAACACACCTAATGCATGCAGTACTGTACAGGATATGTGATACATCCTCATATATCCCAGGCATGCAACACTCCCAATGAATGCAGTACTGTACAGTCTATGTGATACATCCTCATACATCCCAGGCATGCAACACTCCCAATGCATGCAGTACTGTACAGTCTATGTGATACATCCTTATATATCCCAGGCATGCATGCAGTACTGTACAGGCTATGTGATACATCCTTATATATCCCAGGCATGCGTGCAGTACTGTACAGGCTATGTGATACATCCTTATATATCCCAGGCATGCATGCAGTTCTGTACAGGACTTCCTTACCTGAAGCTGCTTCTTCTCTTTGTCACCGGTGAAGAAGCTGAAGCGTTTAGCCCTGATGAGCCTTCTCCTTCTGAAGAAATAACATGTAATTACTAGACAGACAATAGACGTAGTGGACAGATATTAGAAAAGTGCAGTGCTGGCTGGGTAACAATGGGACAATGATGTCTCTCATCATACTCAGTAACTGTTTCAACTGAACATTATCTTACAGTCCATGATATTTTTACATTTGAAATGTTTTCACAATCAAGTCCTCAAGTGCTCACAGAAATAGAAATAATGATTTGCTTTCCTGTAAACTCATCTATTTCTGATAATTTTACAAAAAGTGTTCAAAACAAAAGTTGGGAAAAATGATAGTCATAGAATATTTAACAATCAAACTTTAGTTGTGTTCAAAACTATGGAATAAACACCAAAAACATTTTTTTACCCCTTGAAATTTCATCAAAGTCAAAATGTACTTTTCTGATGCAAGCTATAGTATGCAAATGAGATGTACTATCCATAGGTTCACATACATAATATATTTTATGAAAAATGTCTTATAACATTCATCCTTTATTTATTTTACCCTAATTGATATGCAAAATAACTGATTTAGGGATTTGTGTTCAGTACATTTTCAAGCCTGTACTCTTGCTGAAAGATTACAATTTTATGAGTTCATTCATAGCTTGATTGTCAATTGCACAATCGCTATGGCAACGACGGTGCAAATGCATCTGCCTGTCAAAACAGTGCTGCATGTAGTTGTTACCACCCATTGTTGATTGTGATCTAAGTTATAACATGCTTATAAATTTGTTGATAATATGCAAGTTTTTTGTCATTTTTACCTGTAAAATGGTATTTTGAATGATGATCAGAAGTCTAGTATGTTAGAACGTATTCTAATGAAGTAATAAAGAAAAAAAACCCGCCAAAAGTTATTTTATTTGTTTTTCTGTGAGTACTTTAGACACCTTCCATTGTATCAGCTAGTCAAGTCCTATACAACAACTCCACACAGTGAATTCAGCCATGAGTGGTATAGGGGAGATAACTCTCCACCTTCACAAAGGATACACAGGATACAAAACCTGAAATGTATTTACCCTGACAATTTTGATTGGTCACTGACATTGTAACCAACATTGTATATATTTAACATTTATCTTGTTTTTGTTAATCGGGGTATGAAATGAAAAATCTATGTGCGAACTGTATGAATCTGCAGGTAACAGATCAAAAGAGCCGCATGACAAAAGGGCCACATCAAAAAGTCAAAAATATTTTACAGATTTAAATATGCTATTATTAAATTGTTGTCAGGCGATCAGAAAGGTCGGTATGCAGGTGGTATTAAAGTTTTAGCTAGAAATTCTATTGACAGATTTGTAACACCCTTAAATATGTCACATATATAGGTATGTTCTTAAACTTAATCAAGAAATATTTGATCATGAAAATGATATCTCATATTTTTGTGTATATATGTGGGCGGTGGGGTAGCCTAATGGTTAAAGCGTTGGCTCGTCACGCCGAAGACCCGGGTTCGAATCCCCACATGGGCACAATGTGTGAAGCCCATTTCTGGTGTCCCCTGCTGTGATACTGCTGGAATATTGCTAAAAGCGGCGTAAAACCAAAACTCAGTCAGTCAATCAGTCAGTCAGTGTATATATGCAGGGTTTTACATAGCTCCTCGAAACTGGGAGTCCTGGGGACTCAGGGCATACGTATTCTGAGAGTCCATTTCCAAAATTGGGAGTCCATCAATTGGCATGCAATAATTGATCATGGATGCTTCCCATTTGATAATGATTAGGTAATAATATGTGTTACTTTCTATGTCATTAGAAAATATGATTGTAAACAGAATGTGTTTTTTTAATATGGGATATCATTACAAACTCAGAAAGTTCTTCCCAGAAAAAAATTATATTGCGTCCACAAGGACGCACAGGATTTTAGTTTGAGGGTACTTCATCAAATTTCTGCGTCTAATATGTAGGAATCACGCATCCCGTAAAACCCTGTATATGCCCCCACAATATTCAAAATATTATGAGTGAGTGAGTGAGTGAGTTAAGTTTTACGCCGCACTCAGCAATATTCCAGCTATATGGCGGCCACAATATTATGATAATGTAATTGAACATAATGGGACAATTCAGCTTGAGCCTTTATTTTCTGTTGAACACCTTGAATGTTTTATTTCAGATCCGGTTATATTGATTGGTGGTGATTTTAATGCAAGATTGGGTGATTTTCAGGAGAGTATTCCTGATTTTGATGACAGTACAAGCAGTAATTTGGAATTTGCTAACACAGTTGTTACTCAACAACAGACAATATTTTTGTATTAATTGCTCTTATTCAAAAACATATATCTAAATGGAAAGGTAGATTCTATGTAGCATGTATAGATTTCTGTAAAGCCTTCGACTCTACTGATAGAAAATGTATAATTATATCACTAAATCAGATCGGGTGATCAGGAAACATTGTGAGTGCTTTATGGGCTACTTATAAAAAGAGTGACAAATAAAGAAAAGTCTAATGATTCTTTATCAGAGGTATTTGAATCATCCATGGGACTATGTCATTGAGTTTTCAAATACTTCACAAACTTTACTGCCATAGCAGAGGGAAGTGATATAAACAACAAGCATTGTCACTAAGGTGACATAATCCCCCGCCGCAAATTATCAAATCAAACTTATAAAGTAATGAAAGTTTAAGATGAAGTTAAATGTCAACAAAAACATTATCTTGCTCTTTAGTTGTTAAAAAATACACGACCGCCTCTGTGGTGTAGTGGTTAGAGCGTCCGCCCGGAGAGCGGAAGGTTGCGGGTTCGCTCCCCGACCGCGTCATACCAAAAGACGTTAAAATATGGTACTTGTTGGTCCCTGCCTGGCGCTTGGCATTAATGGGTACAACAAAGACTGGTCGGTTCGGAGTCAGTATAATGTGTCTGAGTGGGGTATTCATGCTTCACCGCGACATGGTATCTCAGTGGGCTAGCACTATAAAACCAGCTTCAGTCTGGGCTAGTACAAGCAGCCGCACATACACATACACACGCATGCACGTCGTCATATGAGCGAAATATTCTCAAGCACGACGTTAAACCCGACGTTAAACCCAATTTCACCTCACCTCACCTCAGAAATACACAGATTTTCAAGACTGACGTTGACATGAATGTCATAGTGTATGAAATATGCAAAACTAGTACTAAAGAAACTGCTTATTGAAAAACATTCAAGGGAAGTCTTGAAAGTCTATGAAGAAAATCCAGTGAACTGTTCTTAAAATATCTTGCTGACAATTCAGGTTAACATTCTGAAATCTTCATAGTGTCGTCGTGACCCTAAAAATTATGTGAAGGTCACCAAAATCGACTGGGCCCTGGGCCTACCCTAGATGAAGCTTGGTGTCAAATATGAAGAAAGTACAGTGAATGGTTCTTGAGGTATCTTGCTGACAAGCATAACATGTAGGTTAATTTGCTGAAATCTTCAAAGTGTCTCTGTGACCTTGAAAATTAAGTGAAGGTCACCAAAATGGACTGGGCCCTGCGCCTTCCCTGGATAAAGCTTGGTATTGCATATGAAGAAAATCCAGGGAACGGTTCTTGAGATAGCTTAACATGCAGGTAAAACGTTAAAGACCTTGAAATGAAGGTCAAGGTCACCAAACCTAACTTGGACCTTTCTTTCACTGAAGAGCAAAGAAATCTTAGGGATTAGTGGCAGCTTACATGATTGTCAAAACACAAATATGGCATCAAAGGGATATGTGTTTTCGGGAAATATTTTAGTTTAGTTTAGATTTTTTATGCTTAGAGGAATAAATAAACATCACATACATCTATTCTTTGTCAGGATTTTCTTTCAAATATTGAAAAAATATCTTATTAAACTAGTATGTATAAAGTATACACTGTATAGATGTATAACCTTTTACTATAATACACTTTATTTATATGGGGCCCTTTTTGACTTTTTGATGTGGCCCTTTTGACTTTTTGATGTGGCCCTTTTGACTTTTTGATGTGGCCCTTTTGACTTTTTGATGGGGTCCTTTTGACTTTTTGATGTGGCCCTTTTGACTAGGGGTTTGCGGCCATTTTGACTTTCTTGCGGGCCTTTTGAATTTTCCATTTTGGGGCCCTTTTGTCATGCGGCCCTTCTGACTATGACCCAATCTGCATAGCAACATCGATCACTGGAACCAATCCGGTACCTACATTCTCAACTGCTGAGCAACATCGTTCTCCAGAACTAACCCTCTACTTACATTCTCAACTGTTGAGCAATATCGTTCTCCAGAACTAACCCTGTACCTACATTCTCAACTGTTGAGCAACATCGTTCTCCAGAACTAACCCTGTACCTACATTCTCAACTGTTGAGCAACATCGTTCTCCAGAACTAACCCTGTACCTACATTCTCAACTGTTGAGCAATATCGTTCTCCAGAACTAACCCTGTACCTACATCCTCTCAACTGTTGAGCAACATTCTCAACTGTTGAGCAATATCTCCAGAACTAACCCTGTACCGACATTCTCAACTGTTGAGCAACATCGTTCTCCAGAACTAACCCTGTACCTACATTCAACTCAACTGTTGAGCAATATCGCTTCTCCAGAACTAACCCTGTACCTACATCCTCAACTGTTGAGCAACATCGCTTCTCAGAACTCGCTTCTCCCTGTACCCATTCTCAACTGTACATCCTCAACTGTTGAGCAACATCGTTCTCCAGAACTAACCCCTGTACCTACATTCTCAACTGTTGAGCAACATCGCTCTCCAGAACTCAACCCTGTACCTACATTCTCAACTGTTGAGCAACATCGTTCTCCAGAACTAAACCCTGTACCTACATTCTCAGAACTAACCTGTTGTTGAGCAACATCGCTTCTCCAGAACTAACCCTGTACTTACATTCTCAACTGTTGAGCAATATCGCTTCACTATCGTACTTCATTCTCACAGGTTGAGCAACATCGTTCTCCAGAACTTGTAAACCTGTACCCTGTACATTCTCAACTGTTGAGCAACATCGCTTAACTCCAGAACTAACCCTGTACCTACATTCTCAACTGTTGAGCAATATCGTTCACTAGAATTAAACCTGTACCGACATTCTCAACAGGTTGAGCAACATCGTTCTCCAGAACTAACCCTGTACTTACATTCTCAACTGTTGAGCAATATCGTTCTCCAGAACTAAACCTGTACCTACAGCAATATCGCTTCTCAACTGTTGACATTCTCAACATTGAGCAACATCGTTCTCAGAACTAACCCTGTACCTTACATTCTCAACTGTTGAGCATTCTCACAGAACTAACACCTACATTCTCAACTGTTGAGCAATATCGTTCACTAGAATTAAACCTGTACCGACATTCTCACAGGTTGAGCAACATCGTTCTCCAGAACTAACCCTGTACTTACATTCTCAACTGTTGAGCAATATCGTTCACTAGAATTAAACCTGTACCGACATTCTCACAGGTTGAGCAACATCGTTCTCCAGAACTAACCCTGTACTTACATTCTCACAGGTTGAGCAATATCATTCCCTAGAATTAGCTATTGTGAAGTGTTACTGTCACTTACCATCAAGGTCAAGGCTGTTTCGTGATCCTGGAGCCCTCAAAATGGCGATTGGTTTAAGAGCCGACATTGGCACTAATCCTTGAGTTGTTTCCCCTGACTCATTTGGCACTGTTCGGACTAGACACCAGTCCGAATGACCTGGTGCAGCATCAATGACCTCCACACTCTGACCTTTGGCCAGTGTAACCTCATTGCTAGTAGATGCTGAGAAATCTTCTATCACTACAGTCACATCACCAGCACCCTGAAACACAAGATGAACATTATCAGATAAATGTACACACTTGTACACACTACACTTGTACACACTACACTTGTACACACTACACTTGGACACACTACACTTGTACACACTACACTTGTACACACTACACTTGTACACACTACACTTGTACACACTACACTTGTACACACTACACTTGTACACACTACACTTGTACACACTACACTTGTACACACTACACTTGTACACACTACACTTGTACACACTACACTTGTACACACTACACTTGTACACACTACACTTGTACACACTACACTTGTACACACTACACTTGGACACACTACACTTGTACACACTACACTTGTACACACTACACTTGTACACACTACACTTGGACACACTACACTTGTACACACTACACTTGTACACACTACACTTGTACACACTACACTTGGACACACTACACTTGGACACACTACACTTGTACACACTACACTTGTACACACTACACTTGTACACACTACACTTGTACACACTACACTTGTACACACTACACTTGGACACACTACACTTGGACACACTACACTTGTACACACTACACTTGTACACCTGCTTGGACACACACCACACCTGGTACACACTACACTTGTACACACTACACTTGTACACACTACACTTGGACACACTACACTTGTACACACTACACTTGGACACACTACACTTGGACACACTACACTTGTACACACTACACTGGATGGACACACTGCTTGTGTCTAACAAGAGGCCTGGTACACACTGCTTGTGTCTAACAAGTGAGCTGGTACACACTGCTTGTGTCTAACAAGTGAGCTGGTACACACTGCTTGTGTCTAACAAGAGGGCTGGTACACACTGCTTGTGTCTAACAAGAGGGCTGGTACACACTGCTTGTGTCTAACAAGTGAGCTGGTACACACTGCTTGTGTCTAACAAGTGAGCTGGTACACACTGCTTGTGTCTAACAAGTGAGCTGGTACACACTGCTTGTGTCTAACAAGATGGCTGGTACACACTGCTTGTGTCTAACAAGATGGCTGGTACACACTGCTTGTGTCTAACAAGATGGCTGGTACACACTGCTTGTGTCTAACAAGATGGCTGGTACACACTGCTTGTGTCTAACAAGTGAGCTGGTACACACTGCTTGTGTCTAACAAGATGGCTGGTACACACTGCTTGTGTCTAACAAGAGGGCTGGTACACACTGCTTGTGTCTAACAAGTGAGCTGGTACACACTGCTTGTGTCTAACAAGTGAGCTGGTACACACTGCTTGTGTCTAACAAGATGGCTGGTACACACTGCTTGTGTCTAACAAGTGAGCTGGTACACACTGCTTGTGTCTAACAAGAGGGCTGGTACACACTGCTTGTGTCTAACAAGATGGCTGGTACACACTGCTTGTGTCTAACAAGTGAGCTGGTACACACTGCTTGTGTCTAACAAGATGGCTGGTACACACTGCTTGTGTCTAACAAGATGGCTGGTACACACTGCTTGTGTCTAACAAGAGGGCTGGTACACACTGCTTGTGTCTAACAAGATGGCTGGTACACACTGCTTGTGTCTAACAAGTGAGCTGGTACACACTGCTTGTGTCTAACAAGATGGCTGGTACACACTGCTTGTGTCTAACAAGATGGCTGGTACACACTGCTTGTGTCTAACAAGAGGGCTGGTACACACTGCTTGTGTCTAACAAGATGGCTGGTACACACTGCTTGTGTCTAACAAGTGAGCTGGTAAACACTGCTTGTGTCTAACAAGATGGCTGGTACACACTGCTTGTGTCTAACAAGATGAGCTGGTACACACTGCTTGTGTCTAACAAGATGGCTGGTACACACTGCTTGTGTCTAACAAGATGGCTGGTACACACTGCTTGTGTCTAACAAGAGGCCTGGTACACACTGCTTGTACACAAGAGGCCTGGTACACACTGCTTGTGTCTAACAAGAGGGCTGGTACACACTGCTTGTGTCTAACAAGAGGCCTGGTACACACTGCTTGTGTCTAACAAGAGGGCTGGTACAAACTGCTTGTGTCTAACAAGAGAGTTGGTACACACTGCTTGTGTCTAACAAGAGGCCTGGTACACACTGCTTGTGTCTAACAAGAGGCCTGGTACACACTGCTTGTGTCTAACAAGAGAGCTGGTACACACTGCTTGTGTCTAACAAGAGGCCTGGTACACACTGCTTGTGTCTAACAAGAGGCCTGGTACACACTGCTTGTGTCTAACAAGAGAGCTGGTACACATTGCTTGTGTCTAACAAGAGGCCTGGTACACACTGCTTGTGTCTAACAAGAGACCTGTACACATTGCTTGTGTCTAACAAGAGGCCTGGTACACACTGCTTGTGTATAACAAGATGGCTGGTACACACTGCTTGTGTCTAACAAGAGGCCTGGTACACACTGCTTGTGTCTAACAAGAGGGCTGGTACACACTGCTTGTGTCTAACAAGTGAGCTGGTACACACTGCTTGTGTCTAACAAGTGAGCTGGTACACACTGCTTGTGTCTAACAAGAGGGCTAGTACACACTGCTTGTGTCTAACAAGAGGGCTGGTACACACTGCTTGTGTCTAACAAGTGAGCTGGTACACACTGCTTGTGTCTAACAAGTGAGCTGGTACACACTGCTTGTGTCTAACAAGATGGCTGGTACACACTGCTTGTGTCTAACAAGATGGCTGGTACACACTGCTTTTGTCTAACAAGTGAGCTGGTACACACTGCTTGTGTCTAACAAGATGGCTGGTACACACTGCTTGTGTCTAACAAGATGGCTGGTACAAACTGCTTGTGTCTAACAAGAGAGTTGGTACACACTACTTGTGTCTAACAAGAGGCCTGGTACACACTGCATGTGTCTAATAAGAGAGCTGGTACACATTGCTTGTGTCTGACAAGAGGCCTGGTACACACTGCTTGTGTCTAACAAGAGAGCTGGTACACATTGCTTGTGTCTAACAAGAGGCCTGGTACACACTGCTTGTGTATAACAAGAGGGCTGGTACACACTGCTTGTGTCTAACAAGAGGGCTGGTACACACTGCTTATGTCTAACAAGAGGCTTGGTACATATTGCTTGTGTCTAACAAGAAGGCTGGTACACACTGCTTGTGTCTTACCCCATACAACCAGAACATGGAAACTGATTATTTACTGAATCTGTGTGGTGAACTAATGTAGATGGGGACAGTGGGAATCTCGTTAATCCATTCATGCGCTTCACTAATTAGATGACGAGGCATTTATAGATACTCCCTTGAGAGTTCACGATATCAGATATGTCATGGATACACAGATCAACTTGCAGCTAAGATTGTATTTTCCTAATATCGACAATGAACAAGACCTTGGATCGTCTCTGCAAGACCTTTAGGCTATAGAGGCTAAAGGATATAAGTGTTCATCAAGGTCAGGGTCACAACAAACAAACTTCTCAACATATACCTGGAAAACCTATGTTACGACAAGCACTTGATGAACAACACAAACAAACTTCTCAACATATACCTGGAAAACCTATGTTATGACAAGCACTTGATGAACAACACAAACAAACTTCTCAACATATACCTGGAAAACCTATGTTACGACAAGCACTTGATGAACAACACAAACAAACTTCTCAACATATACCTGGAAAACCTACGTTATGACAAGCACTTGATGAACAACACAAACAAACTTCTCAACATATACCTGGAAAACCTACGTTATGACAAGCACTTGATGAACAACACAAACAAACTTCTCAACATATACCTGGAAAACCTATATTATGACAAGCACTTGATGAACAACACAAACAAACTTCTCAACATATACCTGGAAAACCTATATTACAACAAGCACTTGATGAACAACACAAACAAACTTCTCAACATATACCTGGAAAACCTATGTTATGACAAGCACTTGATGAACAACACAAACAAACTTCTCAACATATACCTGGAAAACCTACGCTATGACAAGCACTTGATGAACAACAAGCAAACTTCTCAACATGAACAACACAAACAAACAAACTCAACATATACCTGAAAACCTATATGTTATGACAAGCACTTGATGAACAACACAAACAAACTTCTCAACATATACCTGGAAAACCTAATTATGACAAGCACACTTGATGAACAACACAAACAAACTTCTCAACATATACCTGGAAAACCTACGTTATGACAAGCACTTGATGAACAACACAAACAAACTTCTCAACATATACCTGGAAAACCTACGTTATGACAAGCACTTGATGAACAACACAAACAAACTTCTCAACATATACCTGGAAACCTATGTTATGACAAGCACTTGATGAACAACACAAACAAACTTCTCAACATATACCTGGAAAACCTACGTTATGACAAGCACTTGATGAACAACACAAACAAACTTCTCAACATATACCTGGAAACCTATGTTATGACAAGCACTTGATGAACAACACAAACAAACTTCTCAACATATACCTGGAAAACCTATGTTATGACAAGCACTTGATGAACAACACAAACAAACTTCTCAACATATACCTGGAAAACCTATGTTATGACAAGCACTTGATGAACAACACAAACAAACTTCTCAACATATACCTGGAAAACCTATATTACAACAAGCACTTGATGAACAACACAAACAAACTTCTCAACATATACCTGGAAAACCTACGTTACGACAAGCACTTGATGAACAACACAAACAAACTTCTCAACATATACCTGGAAAACCTACGTTATGACAAGCACTTGATGAACAACACAAACAAACTTCTCAACATATACCTGGAAAACCTAATGTTATGACAAGCACTTGATGAACAACACAAACAAACTTCTCAACATATACCTGGAAACCTACGTTATGACAAGCACTTGATGAACAACACAAACAAACTTCTCAACATATACCTGGAAAACCTACGTTATGACAAGCACTTGATGAACAACACAAACA